GGTGGCACAAGCATCATGATATGGGGATGTTTCTCATACTATGGTTTTGAGCTGATTGTTGGCTGAGTCTTTGCCATTTTGGCTATTCTTCTATCCATTCAAATGGTAGTTTTTCGCTTTCTTCCACGTCTTTTCAGGTTTTGGTTTCCATTTTAAAGCATTTGCGATCATTTTAGGTGAGCAGCCTATGATTTTCTGCAGTTCTTTATATGTTTTCCCCTCTCCAATCAACTTTTTAATCAAGGTACGCTGTTCTTCTGAACAATGTCTGGAACGACCCATTTTCCTCAGAATTTCAGAGAGAAATGCACTGTAACCAGCATGTACAACATTTGCTGCCTTCCTTCCTTAAATAAGGGCAATAATTAACACCTGTTTTTCAAAGAATGAATGACCTCACTGATAGAACACTGCTATTATTTTGAACATGCCCCTTTCAATTAGTGATTCAATTACACAGAATCAGCAGCATGCATGTCATGACTGTTGGGTCTGTTGGATTTCTATTACTCTACTACACCTGCTAGTAAATTATTTGCCATGTAGAAATATCATTTCTACCAAAAACAGTGATTGATCAGGTTAGTAATGTCTGACTGCTAATATTTTGAACACAACTGTGTGTGTGTGTGTGTGTGTGTATATATATATATATATATATATATATATACACATACATACATACATACATACATATGCACACACACATTTACCGGCCACTTTATTAGGTACACCTTGCTAGTGCCATTACACCATCCTGAACCGTTGATACAAGGCAGGATGAATCGATGCTTTCATGTTGTTTATGCCAAATTCTGAGCCTACCATCTGAATGTAGTAGCAACTAGTCTGCCCGTTCTGCTCTGACATCTGACATCAACAAGGCATTTTCATCAACTGCCGTTCACTAGATATTTTCTCTTTCACGGACCATTCTCTGTAAACCCTAGAGATGGTTGTGCATGTGTGTATATATATATATATATATATATATAAATATATATATATATATACATATACATACACATACACACACACACACTATACATACACACATATACACAAACACACATATACACACACTCACCGGACATTTTATTAGGTACACCTGTTCAATTGTTTGGTAACACAAATTGAAATCAGCCAATCACATGGCAGCAACTCAATACTAGGCATCTAGATGTGGTGAAGATGACTTGTTGAAGTTCAAACCAACCATGAGAATGGGGAAGAAAGGGGTTTAAAGTGACTGTGAACATGGCATGGTTGTTGATGCCAGATGGGCTGGTCTGAACATTTCAAAAACTGCTGATCTACTTGGATTTTCACATACAACCATCTCCAAGATTTACAGAGAATAGCCCGAAAAAGAGAAAATATCCAGTGAGCAGCAGTTGTGTTGACGAAAATGCCTTGTTGAGGTCAGAGGAAAATGGGCATTCGATTTCAGCTGCGTCATTCAGATGGAAGAGTCAGAATTTATGTGTAAACAACATGAAAACATGGATGTATCCTGTCTTGTATCAACAGTTCAGGCTCGTGGTGGTGGTTAATGGTGTGGGGGATATTTTCTTGGTAATAGCAAGGTGTACCATACACACACAACCCAATACCCTTGTGACTATTTTATGTAGCATCTGTATATTACCTTTAGATTAATTTCATTTGAATACATGATTATTTATCTGGAAGAAATATTTTTCCTCGGATGAGTCTATGACATTTACTTTCGCTTCTGCTCAGTAATTGAAAATGATGTACACAAAACAAGAAGGATTTATATATCTTACAACTTTTTTCAAATCTCTACTCAAAGCTCTGTATTTGGGCTGATGCTTCTAAAAATGGATAGCGATAAAATTGTTCAGATTGTTTAGAAGAAGTGTGATAACAGAGCTCTTGCATACTATTCCTGATATGGCAGATTAGCAGCGCTTGTGCTGCTTTGCCTGAGGGGAGCATTCAAATACATCTATGTTGCCAAATTCTGTCTGCTTAATCGAAAAGTACATTCTTAACACAAGATTTTACTGCATTTTATGGGTATTTGTAGGTCAAATATATAAAAACAAATATCAAATGAAAAATATTTTCAATAAAAAAGGAATCTTAGAACTATATAGTTATAGTTCTTTTAGTGCCTTTATGCTTTTCAGGCTATCTTTCGTATACACACAGTTTAGAAGAACATACATAAAACATACTGTATATCTGGCTTTCACTTACATCTACACATGAGCAACCCAGACTTTGAAAAAGTCTACCTATTTCATATCAGCCTGTTGAGATGCTTTCTGTCAGTATAAATGATCCCTTTCACTGTCCCAGATGCAAAGTGGTTAAATACCTTGCCTGGGGGATGCCCTTAACCTGCCAGTGAAGTGGTGCATTTGTACAATGTATACAGTCCACTAGAGCAAAACAAAAAAAAAAAGGAACTGCAGTTATTGCATTGCTAAAATCACAAACCAAATAACTCAGAATACAAGTGGGTAAACTTTAATAATTCCTTTCATGAATATGAGTCACAACCAAAGCACAGTAATGTTTTACATCTTTAAAGTACATACCAGTATATTTTATAGAGTAGGAACATATTGTACTATATTGTAAAGTGCATTCAACCATCAAACATTTCATCCAATGGTTACATCTAGATATGTCTTCAACATCTGTAAAGATGGTTAATTTTCAATTATATTATAGTTAGAAAGTTATATTTAGTTTAAGTGTGTTTGCTTTTCATCTGCTAGTTTGCTAATTTGTCACTAGTTTACTGCAGTGCTTGTAGCTTACTGGTAGGGTAGCACAGACTTAATTTGTAACAATGAATGACACTACAAAGACCACACTGAATGTGCATCTGTAAACACAAGCAAAATTATTCAATCCCAAATCCCTGTTAATAAATGATTGTTATTAGTATGAATTGTTTAAAGTGGTAGTAAAGTCTGTTTTTGTACTTGTACCTACAGGTAAGCCTATAATAAGGCTTACCTGTAGGTACTGTAAATATCTCCTAAAACGTGCCCAATTGAGAAGATATTTAGTTTGTGTAGCAGCACCGGCACATGCGCTCTGAAGGAACGGCATGCCTGTGCCGTTTCTTCAGATCTGTGTGCCATAAAAAGTGACTCCTGCACGCACATGATGTCATTGTGGCGCAGCCATTCAAGCTGCCGGTGCCTGCGAACCTAGAACAAGGACCGGGTGAAGATGGAAGCCCTGTAAGTGGTGATAGTGGGCTGCTGGAGGGCTTGGTTTTAAGTTAAATTTCACATAATGTGCTAGTATGCAATGCATACTAGCACATAATGACATTGCCTTGCAGGGGAAAAGAACTAGCAGGCTTACTACAGATTGAATACATACGTATCTATCCAATGTATATGCTGCTGCTTTCACGTCCTGTGTATTCAGGTGCAAGCACCACTCCTTCAGCCATGTGGAACAAATGCCATAGGATCCAAAGGGCTAAGTACTTGAAAACTGTATCCACTTTATTTAAAATGCCATAAACAGCAACAATTGACACCATGAGAGAGCGTTTTCATTCTCCCATGGTGTCTACTGTTGCTGTATATGACATTTTAAAGATTACCAAAAATGTGGATGCAGTTTTAAAGTGTGCGGCCTTTTGGTTCCTATGGCATTTGTTCCATATACTTATGTATTATAAAGTGGTTAGTGAACCACACTAGAATGTGCCTGGCTGAATCCACCACCAACATATGACAATGTTGATACAACTATACTCATGTATATTGTTCTTCCATGTCAATCAATGCTGCTACTTGCAAAATACTGTAATAGTGTTTTAGTTCAGATTGAAGATGAGAGTATATGGTAGGAATAAAAACTAGATTGCAGTGATCTGGTATAGAACTGGTACATTTTTTTGCGAATACCCAAGCTGACAAGGATGAGAGACAGACATGCCAAAATCCAAGTAAGTATAGAGAAATCAGCATAAAGTCACTGCAGTTGGCTTTGTTGGCTTACCAAGTCTCAGGGCTGGGTGAGGCAAACAAGCCCAACTGGTGATCATGTGGCAGTACCTTTAGATTGTCTCCTCTTCTTAGTTGGATTTGGATATGTCTCTTTTTCAGGTTGTTAGTGTGTCTCAGCATCCTTTATTTCTCAGTAAAGTAGCAGTACTATACCAGATTGGTGTGTCCAATCTTGTTTTACTCTTCTCTTCTTTCACTCTTTCTGCTTTTTCTGAATCACGATTATTAATTATTGGCTGCTAAATGTACTATTCTCCAGTTACCTAAAGCATTGCTGCTCTATATTTCTGCCCGTAAATTGTTATTAGCACCTTTATGCTTTATTGTCAAGGTGGACCACATTGGCCTACAACACATTCTATTGTCTTCAATCATTGGTTTTCAATAAAAAATAAATTGTACAGTGTAATAAAAACATTTTTCTCAATGAATCATAATTAACAATGCAATTTAAGACAAATAAATTAAACTCGTTCTAAAGCATTTACATTTTTTTTATCTTAATGCATTCCTTGCATTCAGGTAAAAAATGTTTAGGCATTGGTTTTGGCATCCTACCTGAACCCTCATTCAATCCAGTGCTGTGCACGTCTGCAGCTCTTCTCTCCCTCACATCCAAGTCTTATTGGCTTTGCTGGGGCCCCGGGAGCCATTGGCTCCTACTGCTGTCAATCAAAGCCAGTGATCAGGGATTGGGGGACGGAGCTGAGTCTGAGTCCCACTGTCTGTGTCAATAGATGCAGCAGTGGGGCTTGACAGCAAGCATGCACAAGTGCTTCCCATGGGGGCACTGGACAGAGAGGAGGACCCAGAAGCACCAGCAGGGGACCTGAAAAGAGGAGATTTTGGGCTGCTCTGTGAAATTCCATTACACAGAGCAGGTAAGTATAGAGATATACAGTATATATATATATTTTATTTTTTTTTTAATTTTCCCTTTACAATCACTTTAAGTTAGTAGCACTGCTTTGATTGTGTAATCTTCCTTTTTCAATTCAGTGGATCTGCAAGTGTCACTAGAATGAAAAATATAAATATTTTATTTATTACAAGTATTTATAAAAGTGCCAACAATTTACACAGTGCTTTACATATTCTACATTCACATCAATCTCTGCCCTCAAGAGACAGCTTACAATCCTGGTTCCCTACCTCACATACCTACACATACCAGGGCCAAATAACCTAGGTCTTTGGAAAGTGGGGGGAAACTGGATTAACTAAAGGAAACACATGCAAGCTGACGGAGAACATGCAAACTCCATGCAGAAAATGTCTTGGTTGGGATTCAAACCAAGAACCCTAGTGTTGAAAACTGTGCTGTGCTGAACCTATGCAAATGGGTATTTAGGCAGATGGACAAGTTAAAACCGTTGAAAGGGAAATATATGAAAACCTCATTTTCATGTGAAAATGTGGTTGTAAAGGACATATCTCAAGTAGTGACCAAACACCATAATTAATATTTTAATATATAATATTACAACATACCTTTGTGGATTCAGGACAATAATTAAAGAAATAAACTGCAAAGTGCACTATTCATTGCACTCATGTCCTCATGCACACTGGGCAGGTGCCTTTCAATCCATACATTCATTCCTGGGCACATACTGCTCAAAATGCTAGTACCACTACCTTTTATCCTCTCAGAGTTTTACAGGCTGGTGGCAGTGGGGCTGGATGGTGCGTCTGTGCTCTATGCTCATGTGAAAATGCTGGAATCTCATGCTAAATGCCTAGTGTCCATGAAGCCTTTCTTGCATTAGCCCAACTTGTATAAGGTGTACATTTTATTGATCATTATGAGTTACTACACTTTGTAACTGCTGTTTGCACTATTTATGTAAGAAGTGTGATTATAATAATCAAACTGTTAACTTACATGTATTCTTAAAAAAGGATTTGGAAACTTTGTAAATTATTTTTTAATACTAAACAATAAAAAAGCAATATCCCATAATATTATGGAAAGCAATAAATCCTGATTCACACATGTGCGGTGCGGATTGAAGCTCAAGTTTCACAGCTACAGTAGCTGTTCACCGGTTCAGATCAGTAGCTGTTCACTGGTTCAGGTCAGGTTTACATCAGGTTCAGGACAGGATTAGCTCAGGATTTTATCCTATTCACACATGTGGTTTAGAAATGGTTCCCATAGAAGTCAATAGCCTGTAAGCCGCACCTGAACCGGACTGCAATGCTCAGAAATTGTATAGGACTCTTTTTTAAACCGCACTGAATCCACACTGAATCTGCACCAGCAGTGCACCAGACATACTGTATGTGAGCAGGCACCATAGGAAACAATGTTATTTTACAAGTCATGCAGACTGGATGCGGTTCAAACAGCATCCAATCCGCGTATATGTGAACGGGCACTAAAGCTAATACTCCATGCCATGATGACTGTCTTAAAAAAGTGTGTATTTTGTAATAGGTGTTAGAAACGTTTTATAAATGTACAAGCAATAAGATAAAGTTGTCTACAAATAATAGATGTCAAGCTTACATTACTGCAAAAACACACAAAACACTTAGCGCACAGCCACCATCAATATTTATTAGAGCCTAAAAAAATACATACTCACAAACACATATAAAAACAGGTGTGTCAAACAACTCAAGCCATAGGAGACGTCATCTGTTCATACACCAAATGGTTGGAAACTAACGCATTTTGGGGGTTAAATCCCCCTTCTTCAGAACTATAAATATATATAATTGTCAATGGGGGTAATGCGCTAGGTGTTTGTGCCCTTCTGTGTTTGTTTTTTCAAATTGTTTGAAGATGACTCGATCTGAGGGTGGCTGCATCAAATAAAGCATTGCTTGCAAGGTCACTATGGGAAGTACCTTCATCTGAGCGCTGGAGTTTCTGACTTCTTCTGTTTAGGCATATATTAGAAGAAGGTGTGGTCTTTGGAAATGTCCCCCCAATGTTTACATAATCAGTCATGTTCTTCTTAACATGCATGTTTGTGCCAAAAGCATCTGCCACATCCATTTTATCCTGGAGAAGGAACACTGATCCAATTGACCAATTTGGCTATTGACTCAAACTTCCAACCCAGCTAATTAGACATCTAGATAGGTAAATGAGTTCTCAGTTCAGTTTGAACTTCGCTTATTCCAGTGTCTAGATAATTCAGCAGAATTAGAAGCCATAATATATACATGTGCTTTTTTTCACTACTATAAAAAGACAGCCTTCTCTGTCAATGGTTGTTCAAGTGTCACTAAGCTCAAAAAAGAAGAAACACAACTTAATAATTACTAAAACTGCGTGTTCTTTGTTTAGGGTTACAATCTTTACTTATGAATAAATTGCTTGTGTAACCTACTGGTCATCTACAGTTATTTGTTGGTGGTGGCAACAATCTGTGGGATCATAGAGCAACTGCACTGTTACCACCACACTGCGTATGTTCTTCATCTTCTATGTAAGTAAGCAGTGTCTACTCGATGTTTACTGTGGGGGAAATCCCCCAACTAATCTCACTATGGCCTGGGATGGGAGTGAGGCTAAACAGGAGTGAGTCACATGTCCTGTGATGTCCCTCAGCTTTTTCAGGTCCTCCCCCATGCCATGCAAGGGGGTTAGAGCTGTCAAGCAAGGATGAGATGAGATTTGCTCCAAGGCATTTATGGATGGATCAGATCCTTGACCCCCTTTATAAAAAAGCTAAAAAGGTATTGATGACTAAATTACAGCATTTACCATGTAAATCAATGGCTAATATTGTGCCCCATCATTTAGATCTGGCAGTACTATCAGGGTTTAGAATCACGCTAAAGAAGCAGCAGGTGTCTGCACCTGCTGTGCCCTTAACAACTAATAATGTCACTTGCTGGCCAGGAATCCCCAACCATGTAAACAAATAGCGGTGACATCACAGACCAAAAATGGCCACATGGCCTTATTTGGTCAGTGACATCACTGGGTATACCCAGCCACTTTGTTTACATTAGGGGCAGGGACTGGAGCTGTAATTTACAGTAAATGTAGTGACAGGATTGGATGCATCTGTCAGTCAACTGTTTTTTTTCTTTTGGCAAATTGGTGGGTGTAGTTTATTGTGACATGGGCCTGCAACACTGGATGATGTGAATGACAATGGATTTACATTGTGAGACTTTTTTTTAGTTATTATTTATAATAAAGAACTTGTCAAATAGTGTGTCTCTTATTTACACTTTAAAATTTTGTGACTAAGTAGCCGTATAATATACCCCTTTTGCAGGTATCTGGGCCCCCCTTAATTTTATCTTTGGTACATGTTCCTGAAGGCAGTGACCCCCCCCCCCCCCCCCCATTCTACTTGTTTGACAATTCCTTGCCTATTAGTCTAGTAAATGGCTATTGCTGTTTTTTGACATCTGGCTACCATAGGCTGCAGTGGAGCTCAGATATGGCACCCAAACATCAGTAATTTTTGCTGAACCCAGGAACGTTTGGCTCATCCCTATTCTTGACTGCATTACTAGTGTACAGAAAATACAAAAAATTAGAGGTTATTACCTTTCACAGGTTTTTCACAATAGTTAGAACAGCACTTCAGACTATTTGGACAATCATAATCACTAGTGCATAGAATTGCTGGTTTTGTTTCAGCGACACCTGGGCATTTTCCTGGCTTCTCTGAAAGAAAAAATAAAGACTAGTTACATTATATATTATCACTGCACAGAACCCACAGTAATCTTAAAGTGGCACTTTACCCATAACAACTTGATAAAAAATAATATTCTTTAGCAAGGACCATATACTCCGCATTAATAATTATGCTACCAAAATTAGTGTGTGCTGTAAATTGTCTCCAGCATTGCTTGTGTTTCTTCTTGCTGTAGGGTGAAATTTTGCTGAAGCCCAAAGTCCAGAGCGGCAGTAAATCTTTAGGCTGTCAGCAGATCGGCCTCTACAAATTTGGTACAGTGCCTAAAAATAGAGAGCAACTGAGCATGTGCAGAGCAGGATGAGACAGTGTATTACTGGATTTTCCATAGTATAGACACTTATATTTATTGTTTTTTTAGATAGCTATACCAGCAAAAGGGGCCAGCCTGAAGTGATCTAGCAGGAAATAATGTCCTGACTCAAGTTCGACATTAAGCAACTACTGACTAAAGTGACTGTGAAATGTTTCAAAATATACTTTTGTTTGCCCATATTCATTTTGGAACGATTATGCATTAATATAATAATTAGTTGAGGAACTTAATGCTTCTACAAGTTGTTTTTAACAATTATTGAAGCTATTAATGAATTTATAATTGTGGCTTGGGATTATAATAGTGCATATTTGTATTTACAATTAGACACACTTCACAGATTTATAATCAACATGTTGTATGCATAAACGTAATGCAATTATTATTTACTGTACAAGGATCACCTCCAGTCTGATTTACTATGTAAATATGACCCCATTATGCAGGTAAAACTAGCATATCCATTGCTTGTTGTGTTTAAAGGATAAAACATGTTTTATTTATATTGAGTGAGCAGAGAAGTAAGTCATAAGGTTTCTCAGTACAAATATTAAAGAAAGGATAGCACAAACATATATGCCCTAGGCTGTGTCAGAAAGCAAAGCTCAACTAAAAACAGATGTGCATTACTAGTTATTTAAAGAAAAGATCACATCACATAATCCTTTAACATTCAGTGGCTGTGTCTATTACTCTTAAAAGACACCTTTATATAAAAAGGTCTAAGTGGTTGATGAAATAGTTTTAATAATTGCTTCTAATATAGTTCTCAAAATCAGAAATATTTTCAATTTAAATGTTTAAATTAAATGGTTGTTTTGAGCTATGTATCATAAGCATACCATGTTTTTTGTCCATATGATACAGTTTTTGACATCCTTTTTTGTTTAGTGCTACTGACTCTTCCAGCCTTTTTTAGCCATTCCATGCCTCTATTCACTCGCTCTAGTGTCAGCAAGAAAAACATTTCTCTGGACCAGTTACGGATTGTGACAACAGTGGATGATGCCCAGACAATGTGTGCAAGTGTAGCCGCTTTTAAGCTGGCCATAGATTGACCAAAATCCCTGCTGAATTGGCAGCATTTCAATTAGTGTGTGGTTGCCCATGGTCAAAAGATATCATTCGTTTGATGGACTTCTGTAGAAGGGACATGCTGGAAAACTTTTGCTGATGAGCGGCTGTAGCTGCTGATCAGTGTATTCTGGCAGTCAGTAGTGTTGCTATGGGGGTGCAGATGGCTGGGGTGATACCCCAGAGAGGTGACACCATCCCAAGTGGCCCAGGCCCCAGAGGTAATTATATCTACTGCCTGCAGGCTGAATGATTGAAAGCTGCTGTAGCTACTCATCTCCGCCCACTTCTCCCTTCTGCCTATTGCAGCTAGAGCGCATCCGAGGGCATCCAATCAGTGGCGCCAGCAAGGAGAGAGCTTGGCATTGCCCCGCCAACCAGGAAGTGTGGTGGAGCATCTGGGAGAAGAGAGGCAGTAGAGGAAACATGAGGCGGCAGAGACACCAGTGGAGACATGAAGCAAGAGAGGTGTCGGAGAAGACATGAGGCGGGCGAGGAGCCAGAAGAGATATGAAGATGGAGAGGAGCTGAAGGACACATGAAGCAAGGGAGGTGCCGGAGGCTGCTGGTCCTGTGTGGGCTGCTGCTGGTTGCCATTCCTCAGGTAAGAGGTAGATGGGGTACCCCATGAGGGGGCAGGGGGCTCAGACTGAGGCTCTGTGTACTGATATCTCCTTCCATTCCATGGAGAAGTGCATATAGATATATATATATATATATATATATATATATATATATATATATATACACACACACACACACACACACACACATATATACATACACATACACACAACAATATTTAGGCAAGTAAGTTTTTTGACCAAATCATCATTTTTATGCATATTGTCCAACTTCAAGCTGTATAAACTTGAATGCTTATTGGATTTAAGCATACCAGGTGATGTGTATTTGTGTAATGAGGGAGGGCGTGGCCTAATGAGATCAACACCCTGTATCAACGTGTGCATACTTATTAGGCAGTTTCTTTTTCCTCAGGCAAAATGTGCCAAAAAAGAGCTTTAACTGACGAAAAGTCAAAAATTGTAAAAAGTTTTTCAGAGGGATGCAGCACTCTCGATATTGCTAAAATATTGGGGCATGATCACAGAACCATCAAATGTTTTGTTGCAAATAGTCAACAGGGTTGCAAGAAATGGGTTGAGACGCAAATTAACTGCCAAAGATTTGAGAAGAATCAAACGTGAACCTACAGTACCAGGAGCCCATTATCCTCCAGTGCTGTCATATTCCAGAACTGCAACCTACCTGGAGTGCCCAGAAGTACAAGGTGTTCAGTGCTCAGTGACATGGCCAAGGTAAGGAAGGTTGAAACTCGACTACCACTGAGCAAGACAGATAAGTTGAAATGTCAAGACTGGGAAAAGAAATACCTGAAGACAGATTTTTCAAAGGTTTTATAGACTGATGAGATGAGAGTGACTCTTGAAAAACCAGATGGATGGGCCTGTGGCTGGTTCAGTAACAGGCACAGAGCTCCACTTTGACTCAGACACCAGCAAGGTGGAGGCAGGGTTCTGGTATGGGTTGGTATTATTACAGAAATAATATGTCAGCACTAGAGGATAATGGGTTCCTGATAGCTTTACGTTTGATTCTTCCCTGTTCATTTTTTTTCTCAACACGTTTCTTGCGACCCTGTTAACAATTTACAACAAAACGTTTGATGGTTCTGTGATCAGTGACCAGTGTTTTAGCAATTTCAAGAGTGCTGCATCCCTCTGAAAGACTTTGCTAAGTCAGTTGACTTTTTGACTTTTCAGAGTCAGTTAAAGCTCTTAATAGTTATGCACACTTTGAAATAGGGTTTTGATCGCCTTACACAAATACACATCACCTGATATGTTTACATCCAATAAGCATTCAAGTTTATAGGGCTTGGAGTTGGACAATCTGTATAAAAAATTATGATTTTGGTCAAAACTCACTTGCCTAATAATTGTGCACACAGTGTGTGTGTGTGTGTATATATATATATATATATATGGGCAAAAAAATTGAAACACTGCAGGTGTGAAAGTAACGTTTTACGTTGAAAGCGAAGTGACGTAACACTCTTTTTGCTTCCGCTGTGTAATGAGACAACTACAGTGCCTTGAAAAAGTATTCATAGCCCTTTAAATTTTCCACATTTTGTCATGTTACATCCAAAAACTTACCTGTATTTTTTTGGCATTTTGTGTGATAGACCAACACAAAGTGGCACATAATTGTGATGTGAAAGGAAAATGATAAATGGTTTTCAAACTTTTTTAAATATCTGAAAAGTTTAGCGTGCATTTGTATACAGCTGTTATGTGAAGCCCTTAGAGGTTTTCTAGAGAACATTAGTGAACAAACAACATCATGAAGGCCAAGGAACACACCAGACAGGCCAGGGATAAAAATGTGGAGAAGTTTAAAGCAGGGTTAGGTTATAAAAATATCCCAAGCTTTGAACATCTCATGAATACTTTTTCAAGGCACTGTAGCTAACAGGTGGAAAGCCTCACTTTTGTCATTTACTGCGTGTGCTACTTGTAATACGGAGTCATCTCAAAGCTTTCTGAGCTTCAAAGAGGGCAAATTGTTGGTGCCTGCTTAGCTGGTGCCTCTCTGACTGAAGTTGCCAATTTATTTGCTCTGTCACAAGGTACAGTATCAAAGGTTATGATGGCATATATAGTTTCTTGGAGAACATAGTCTGATAAGCATAAGCGCGGTCAACATGTTCAACTGACTAAAAGGGACAAAAGGACATTGTGCAGGATTGTGACCCAGATTAAGAAAACAACTGCTGCAAAAGTGACTGCAGAGCTCAATTTCAGTCTTCATGGGATATGTAAACGTTTGATCAGGACCATTTGGGCGATTTCTGTTATCATTATGATTTCAAAAGGAGCAAAACATCTATGTGATAATAAATGACTTAAAAAGATCACTATCCTCAAATAAAAGACAGTTTTTTATTCGACCAGTCATATATTCAGTATCAATGCCAGAATTTCATGCACAACTGTATGTGACCGAGCCTGCACATGCCGCCCTGCCGCAGTAAATTCTACTGCACAGCACCAGCAAGTGGTTAACCAGTGAAAATTTTAAATATTATACTACTTGTTTTATTATGAATTTTTCCCTTTTATCATGGCACCAAAATTATGTTTTTCTGGTACAAAGTAATATTTACATGTAGCGCTACTCCTATAGGAGCTGCAGGAATACTGTAGAGGTTTTCCCCACAAGCTTTGACCCACAGCCAGGCACATAGGCTCATTCACACATTTCTTCAATAAACAGTCTAGGTTTGTTGTTTTTGTGTTTTATTTTATTTTTGGAAAACTTGCATAGGGTTGAGGGAAATAAGTGGGATAATCCAAAATCAAGAACTATGTAAAACTGGAAGGTTTGGTTATTCTTTAGAACAAACTATATTAAAGTCCTTGCTTACTGCTTTAAGGCAGCGGTAGCAGTAGTTTAACAGTAGGTCTCTCTCTCTCAGGGTCACTAGAGTAGAAAAAAGTATTATATTAAATGAAGATACGCCTTTGGCCCAACATTTTGTTGAACATCATGGAGGCCAAATAACTGGCCTGAGAGTGAAAGAATTTTTTACTCTTAAAATTGTCACCCAGGAGAGGTGACTTCAATACAGTATTACTGAAAAAAGAAAAAAGTTGGATTTTTAAATTAAAAACTTTGGTACCATTTGGGTTAAATAATGAAATGAGTCTTAAAGTTTTCTTGGAATCATAATTGATGTGGTCCCCCCTTTTTTAGTACCAATAAAAATCCTGTTTTTCCTTGTTATTAGCAGTGAATTTCTATTACGAATCCCACTGTGAATGCCCATGATGATTGTATGGGGATTTATTTCCCTAAAAAACATTTCTAGAGAACTGGGACTTCTCCACGTATAGTGTACCAAGATACAATTATATAAACACCTTGGATGCTTAAAGTTGTTTGAAACCAGTTAAGAATGTGTAAAATGGCTTTGTGTCATAATCCATCTATTATTTTTTAAAAGTAACGGTTTTTGCTGAGATGTAGAAGTGCTGCCCTTTAAATAGGGAACTGCCCCCGGCCTTTCTGATTGGTTGAATGGGACATTTGTCTCGTCAAAAGGCCTGGTGTGTGAACGTCTAGACGTTCTGACGAAGCACACGGTCACGTGTGCGAAACGCGTTGACGTAGGAAGCCTCAGCCAGATCCTGGGCCACAAACGGGAATGGGCATGGGCACGTGTTGATCCGCCTCACTCCGTTCTGATCAGGGTGGCAAATTCTTACACCGTCTCTACTACACTACCAGGAATACCGCTGTGAGCTATCATTACTACTACCATTACGGGGTCATTCACTCCAACCTGGTTCGTCTACTCAGAGGCTATAGATGATCCGGTTGTCCGGATGCACGCCAAGTCATCAGATAATTTTACCATGTGAAGTCTGCCATGCTGACACTATACATTTAGAATTACCTTGGAATGGTGAGAGCCTGTGGGCACAATTTTTTCAGCGGCAGTTGCCGTATGAGCATTTTACCAGTATCTTTCATTACATGGTCCTATCTTCACTTTGACATACAGTGACTCCACAAATTGTCAATACTGACTTTGGATACTATTTTGTTGCACTGGTGATCAAGCTGGACTTTGTTGATTTAATTGCACTGGATTAGTCACTCATCTACCACTGAATATTAGGCTGTTAAGCCTTGATCTTAATTTGAATATCTATGAGATTTATACATCTGGGACTGAACTGGACTGAATTGGTCTCATTAGCTTGGCGTCACAGCCTTTAACTTTCATCAACATTAGGCTATTAGCTTCTATTTTGAGCGGGAAAATCAATGTTAACATAGTGATTTGGAGATAATCAAATCCTATATACCTGTGATCAGGTTAAAGGGGTACTAGCCCTCATTTTTCTACCACATATTATTGACATTGTTGCCTACTAATGTCCACTGAAGCTGGATGTTCAATTTCTCTTCAATAAATCTGTGATCAGATGGAGTGGATTTACTGGATGAACAGACCAATAAGTCTCCAACTATGTAGTATTCAACTGCGAGCTATTATGCAAATGTGCACAACAATAATTTTTGTTGCTATTATTCCCTCTGGGATGTGAATTGCCAATTTGGCTGTATATATTGGATAAAATCGGTGAGTTCCTCTGCTCCATTCTTTGTTCATTTATATGTGCTAATTATCTATGGTGGACTATGTCCCGGTTGGAGAATCTATTTTCCAGAGTCTTGGATCCTGCATTGCTGGTTAAGGTGGTTATTCCACTATGCGAGACTTTAGTTTATTGACCCCGAAATAATGCTCATTTAAGACGGAAGGTAGTAGTATTGCATTTATATCCATAGTATGTGTGGCCTGGGCCATTTTAAAAGTGATAACGTTATCCTGTTGGTTAATTAATATATGTAGATTTTATTAAACGATTATCTTCACTAGAGTACAGTCCCTTTCTTAGTAAAGGATTAGATAGACAACGCTCTTCGGGACACCAGTTGGTGCCCCCTTTACTAGACCCACAGCTGACCCCCTAGCAACCAAAGGGGTTTTAGTAGCACAAAGTTTCTAAGATCCTTTCAGAGATGTCTGTACTCACAAGGCCCAAGGATAGCTGGTTGGCTTCCTTCATGATACCAGATCAGATCTTCAGTAGATGGTCCTTCAATCAACTCTAGCAGAACCCGGATCTCGGCATTCAGGCTTTCAGGATACCCGCTCGAGGCCTCATGACAGCAGTTGCCTTTGAGGGCAGCATGCCCCCTCCAGGCTTGACCAATCCTATCCAGGAAAAAACCCAGAGCCCAGTGTGCTCACTGAATATATACAGTTATCCAGCATGCCATCAGAGCCTTTTCAGTCAAGTGTCCAAGTTGCACAGATGCATGCTAGGTAAAAGGTGCCCAAAAGTGGAAATGCATCAAAAATGCACCTGTATAAAATAACCACCAGGTGAACTTCCCTCTATGGTCTGGTCGTCTAGTCTTGGGAATTAGTGGTAATCTGCTGGATCCAGAGGTCCCCTTAAGGATGGATTAGGTGCTCAGCCTGAGTACAGGGCTCCTCTCCTCTGGTTGTAGAAAATCTCTGGGGGTTTCCTGCAGACTTAATAGCTCCATGAAGGAGCCAAGAAACAGGTACCCATAGTGTAGTATACTTGAGTATTTTATTGAGAGTAAATTAAAATTGCAGGGTGCAGACCGGTTCTCCCTCTGATGATGTGCCATTGCACGAAAGGCCTCAAGAGGAACCAGACAGAGTGTGACGTCATCGCCGCCGGAGCTACGAGGAAGCCCGGTGGCCATCTTTCTTAGGGTTAGTGCTGCATGCTCTGCAATACTGTGGATGTCACATTACTACCCTGCAAATTTCACTATACTGCAATACTTTACATTACCACCCTTTACTTTACTCAATAAAATACTGGGTACCTGTTTCTTGGCTCCTTCATGGAGCTATTAAGTCTGCAGGAGACCCCCAGAGATTTTCTACAAACAGAGGAGAGGAGCCCTGTACTCAGGCTGAGCACCTAATCCATCCTTAAGGGGACCTCTGGATCCAGCAGATTACCACTAATTCCCAAGACTAGATGATCAGACCATAGAGGGAAGTTCACCTGGTGGTTATTTTACTACATTCGCATTACCTATGCACTTCTGGTGAGTAACTATTGGCTGGTGTCACAAGTCTATTTGCTGCGATTTTACTACCCTTGGATTTCTTGCCTGTACAGATTTATATATTTGACTAATTCATATATTATTTATTGGATATTCAGCTGTTAGACCTGTTGATGTCAGCTCAACAACGAAAGGCTCTAAAATGTTCAAAGTATGTCCTAAACCTTTAACTTAAGAGATAAGATAAACTCTGTATTTCCTTGAAGGAAAACTGCACACAGATCATGTTTAGCAGGAGGGTAGTAGGTGTGTACTTCCTAAAGCCTGCCCTGTGTAATTTACTTTGTTTTACATTCATTTAATGGCAATCACAGTGAAATGTCCAAGGCAAGTTCGAATTGGGTTGCAGGCTGTAAGGCACATCCGGTAATTCTTGGACCAGGTTTTCAGTGTGTGAAAACAAGAAGGGTGTTCCTGCATCACACCAGCAGGTATAATATAGGATCCCCAGATTGGAGATAAGAAAGGAGCGGGCGGACAGTACAGCATGCATAGATGAAAAACTGAATTACACTCCAAAACATCATTCTTTTGTATACATCTATTGTTACCATTTATTCCTTTATATGTTTTTTTGAAAACAGATAAAATCTAACAAAACCTTTGTGAAAGAAAAACTAAATTCAATTTTAACGCTCCCTCTATTTTTCATATTTTAATGTTACATTTGGATCTTTTTTTTTTTTTAAATATCTTTTTATTAACTTTTTAAGACATAAAGAACATATGCATAAGAACATAAAACATAGGTTCACATGTGTCCTACCATCGCAGGGATGGAGAAGATCAATCACACATCCAAAAATTACAACAAGGCTGCATTAAAAGAAACTCTGAGAAGCCCACATGGTAAATTGTGTCCCATACTAGTGCACATTATAACCAATACCATGTCCCAAGGATCAGTAGAAAATACAGAGATAGCATGAAAATACAATATTAATATTAGGTTATGGCATGTCAGAGGCAGTGGAGGTCCAGCCATTTGGACCATACTCTATCATATTTTTTGAGGCATCCTCTGTGCATATAAGTATCCTTATAAAGTGGTAAATTAGCATTAATTATCCGCTTCCATGACATAATAGATGGGGGAGCAGGTTTTTTTTACCTTTGGATCTTTAAACCACACATTAAGACAAATAGTCTAAAGACACTGAGGTCTCTTGGTGCGTAGTGGGTCCTCCATGAGATTGCTAGCCAGTTAGTCATTCATTTGAATTTTGAGGGAACTAGTTGCTTTTTCTTACAAGTGCAAGGAAGGGAAATTTAAAAACAAAGTTATGAAATAGTCACTCCTCTTGGACTGACTATTTCAAACATGGGCATCATGGTAACTACAACCCAGGTTTATACAATGCAAAGAGTTTCCTATGCAGTAACTCTGCTGTTAGAATTAATCAGATTTCAGTTTGTATTCATTTAGTAGTTATTATTATGAATTGTAATTTGTGATTGGCTGCTAGGTTGTTGCATCTCTTGGAACTTAATGTTTAAGTAACTGTATTGTGGTAAACATTATATAGGGCATTTAATTAATGAAAAAAAAAATCAAGAAGAAAGCCACTTCATTAAAAGAGTCAACTCTAAATGTCATACTAAACCTCTTGATGCAGGCAGACAATCTTTTGTTGAGCCTCGATCACAGCACTTAGCAGGTTTAAAGCAATCAAAGTCACTAAAACATTTTGGATATTCTTTTTCATCTTCTTTATTTGGCAGATCATTTAGTGGACAGAAGCCTCTTCTTACTAAACAAAGCATATTCAAGTTTAATATTTCACAGAATTTATCCAAAAATGTTTCTTACATGGAATTCATTTCTTAGTTGCCTTAACAGTAAAATTACGTGTTAGGGATTTTTTGTTATTGTCTGTTATTGTCTGCGATACAAAAAGTGACAAGAAATCCAAAAATTAGAGCTGTAACAAAACCAGTAGATATGGGGAAGTTTTCTGATAAAAATGCCTGTACTGGCATGAGCTATCTAAGAGGGGCTTTCTGCATGTTTTTTTTTTTTTTTTAGATATCACGTTTTACTTATTGTGTCTCTGGGACATAATGTGAAGAAATGTCCCTGTCAGGACACAATGAGAAAAAAAAATTCCCTACTTTAACAAAAAAAAAATGTTGGCTTTACATATAATTTACTGTAAATGTATCAAAATATAGCAAGACAACATCTAAAAAACCTTACATGCTGCAAGCTTCAGTCTGCATAGCAGAGCAATACAAAGCAGCATGCTTACACAGTAAATCACAAACAGCACACATAGTAAAACAGCACACAGTTAACCCTTTGATCGCCCCAGATGTTAACTCCTTCTTGCCCAGTGTCATTAGTACAGTGTCAGTGCTTTTTGTTTTGCACTGATCAGTGTCACTGGGGATGTCAGTGGCAGTTAGTCAGTTCCCCCCCAGTGTCAGAATGCCCGCCGCAGTCCTGCTATAACGTCTGTTCACCGCCATTACTAGTATAAAAAAAAAATTTCTTTACAATTCCAGTATATATATATATCACCATTTGTAGATGCTATACCTTTCACGTAAACCAATTAATTTACATGTATTGAGATATTTTTTTTAGCAAAGACATGTAGCAGAATACATTTTGGTTTAAACTTATGACAAAATTTGATTTTTTACATTTTTTTTGGTCTTCTCCAACCTTTGACATCTTCAAGTGCATCCTTTAAAAGTACCTTTTAGGAAAGCTCATAATCCTAAAATATTCGATTTAACTATTGATCCAGTATTGCCTCCTCCTCCACAATCTGACAATCCATGCTCTACTTCCCTTGTATACAGCATAGCCATCCCCATACTTGTTGTTTCAAGCCTCTTCCATACAATTGTATGATCGATTCACTAGAAACATTTCATGCACTTGTATTTTCTGTACTACACACTATTGTATTCATTTCTTGCTTTCTGACAAACTATGCATGATGAGGGTGATATTTATGTTTTAAGTCAATAACACTACTAATGAGGCATGTTCTAAACCTGATCATTTCATTTTATAATGTGGCCTTCTAATGCTTTGCAGGGAGAAAAAAATTGGCACAATCGCTGCTGTCTGTAGAGAACCCTATGTTGTTTACCAACACAGGGCTCTCTTCTATCATTCGCTTAGCCTAAAAGGCATGATTCATAAGAGCTGGATCACATATTATTACTAAGTTTACCGCTTTTAATGTACTGATCTACTAATCTACTTGTTATTTATTATATGTGAAAGAAGGAGACAATAAAATCAACCCTCCTTTCAGTTCATTAATATCCCTTTGAGCATGTTGTCTCTTGTAGAGGTACAAATATTTATTGTTACGATTAATCAGCACAGTGAACCGTCTTGTATTACTTGTTACAAGCGTAAACAAAACATTAAATGAGACACACATAATTGCTAACAGGGAGAAACAGTAGGTGACTGGGATTATACCTCCATAGACACATTGGAGTCCACATCCTGTATCACAGCATCTCAATTGCCCTGAGCAGTCACTGTCATTGGAACAATTCTTATCACAGGGACATGTAACATTTCCTAATACAGCTACATTTGGACACAAGCCTTGTTTGTCTGTAAATAAAAATAAAGAAAACAAAAACTCAATCTCTGAGAATTTTAACAATTGTTATGAATGAGCACTCGGTGTACAGGAGACTATATCACATTTCTACAAGCAGAGGCAAGACAGGAATAATAACTTTGTACAATTTATTATTTTATGAAGCCGTGTGTTTGCTTCCTACGATTCATAGTAATATTGTGTTAACTTGTGAGTTTAATGGTTTGTAGAAAACATTTAAAACAAATCTTGTCACACGTGAAACTATACCACAGTGTTGTAAAAAAGTCAGAAGTAATCTAGAAAAATCTATAAAAGATTCATGCTGTTCTGTTTCTAAGTAATTAGCTGAAACAGGATAGAAGTTATAGAAACAGTTCAGCTGTATATAACAAAACGGTGAGTACTGCAAAGTTCAGTGATACTGGACTAACCGTCCAACAGAGTCCTGAAAATTGTACTTGTAGTCCAAATACAAAAATTGCTATTGATGAATGTTGTAGTACTTGGTTTTTTAAATTGTCATTAAACCCACAACATTAAAATCTATAAATGCTGTATTACATGCTGTTCATACTCAGTCACTATGGGATTTGTTTTCTGTATTCTGCAAAAAACATGGTAGCTTCTGTTATTCTCTATCCCCCCCCTTCTGTCCATGTCCCCACTGCAGTTGGGGATTTTGCAAAGCAGTGTTGTCAGCTAGTGTATTTCTACTCTGAGCATCTCCTCCCTATTACATCTGAGCAGCCCATGTGACTATAGAGCCATGCATGTGGGCGTATACACAGTGGTAAATGGCAGCCCACTCCCTCCCTCTACCTCTATGGGCCACTAACAAGCTAAACACTATGGGGTGGAAAATTATATCTTGATTGATGGAGGCTTCACTTCCCTGTTATTCTAAGACACAGACTGGAGTGATGTGACCTAGCCTGTGACTGGCAGAAGTTTGCACATACCATATTATTGCCAAAAAAAACCCAAAGATTTGATTTCAAATAAATATATGTATGACAATTTAAAATAGCATATTTATATTAATTATTTATTTTTACACTGTATTCCAAAGGCTGGTTCTTTAATTTGAACATGTGACCAGCAGAAGAAGACTAGAAGCTCGTCCTGCCACTGTTTCCCTGCAGACAGGCTGGGAAAGAGCTGGGTCATGTGACAGTTGTATATCGATTAGGAAAAAAGGTACTTGGATTTTTTTTTTTTTTATTAAAATAATTACAGTGCCATCATCAGCATACAAAAAGAGAAGGAATAATGTAAATTAAACAGTGTGTGTTTAGTACCACTTTAAGTCTTGGCGACCTGTTTTTCAATTTCCAGTCCATATGTTAGGAATGGACTGGCCAGCAATGGTGGGACTCACCTGCCTTTTGATCTGCAGTACCAGGGCTGGCCAGCGGGTGCTCCCAGCAATCAGAGACTCAACCTTTCAGCCAGCTAACACCTGGAACTGATGATACTGGGGTATTTAAGGGATGGCCAGACTTGCAGACTCTGCCTTGGTGTTGTGTTTGTCCTGGGCCCTGTATCTGTCCTGCATCCTGTTTCTGTTCCTTTGCTGACTTCTCCTGCTCTGATCCTGGCTTGTGACCCTGACCATCCCTCTGTCTGACCCTCTGTACTACGCTGCTTGCTACCTTTTCTGATCCCTGGCTTGTGACCCGGACCATCCCTCTGCCTGACCCTCTGTACTACGCTGCTTGCTACCTGCTGAACCTGGCCTGTGACCCCGACCATTCTCCGCTTGCTCCCCCTGTACCTACCTGCCCAATTGATATTGACCCGGCCTGCCTGACGACGCTTGCTTGTATATACTGTTATCTGTGGGTGGTTTGGTTTGGTTTGTTTGCACTGTATTATGTTTAGTATTGCACTGCGTTTATGTTTGTACTGTTAGTGTTAATAAATTATATTGTTTATAACATATCTGAGGTCTGCGTTTCCCTGCTTCAGTCACACACCTCTGGTCATACCTGGGAGCCCTGACACCATAGCTAAAGGATACATGGATTTAAGGACACTGACACACTATGCCAGGAACAAAAGGTGATTACTCAAGAAGGAAATGATCGGACTGGACACTGACAGCCTTGGCCATAACATGTTTTTTAATTCAATTACTGCATTTCTAAGTGCTAATGTTAATGATAGATTCCCCATGGAATGAATGACTCTTATTTCATGGCATTTCTCATAATAATCATCATGGTTCATTTTACATTAACTATATTGTAAAAGTAGTGCACATTGTTAAACGTATCCTTTCATAAATAGTAAATAGATGTATTGTATGGATTGAAGTAATTTTACATAATACACAGCATAAAGAGGGATTCACAAAGAGTGTCTATGACACTTTAGAATTCTGCCATACCTTCACTTGACAAATGTCAGTGAGGGGGAGGAATTCATGTATTTGTTGGAAACATGTATATGAATTTGGGGCAAACATCACATGTGAAGGTGTAAGGAGGCTTCATAGAACACTCCATCCTTGATGCAGCTGAGCTCCCTCACTGACGTTGCATCTGTCACACAAGCAGAGCAACAGCCATGTACCTTTTAAGCTAGCAAAGCTTGAGGAGGATTTATTTTAAAAACAAAAAATAAAATGAAAAAAAAAAAACAACAAACGTTTTCAAAGGACTCCTGCCCTCCATGAATGTTATGTACTTAGGATGTTTACAGGTAAACAGCAATTGGTTAGCACATACAGGGTATCGCCATTTATGACAGAGTGAAAGGAATAATTATAGGGCCATTATGTATGGTTACCTCTAAAACTGATGAGCTGTAAAGGATTTTAAAGTGTTGCTATGGACACTTTTGAGTATTGTAATTTTTGTTTTGCTGTTTTATGGGCCCATGTTAGATGTAGCACCCTCCTAGGTAGGTGCTAGGATTAGACATATAGGATTAGTCATGTTTATGATAGCAAAATTCATTTGTCACTCTGTAGGCAGAGTGGGTGTATTGAGTGAGCTGTGATCATTTAGTGAGGTCTGCTCTGTGTGCTCAGGTGCTGCTAGTCTGCCTACCTTCCTCTGTATCCAGGAGACTGGAGAAATTTCTGGATGATAGGTGTGGAGCTATGCAGATGACAGCATAAATATTGATACAGCCTCAGCTCATCCCAGAGAGAGGGGCTCTAAGGCATGTTGGGTAACTGTATATATTCAGTGAGCACACAGGGCTCTCGGCCTTTCCTGGATAAGATTGCCCAAGCCTGGTAGAGGGCACGTTGCTCTCCTACGTAGCTGCTGCCATAAGCTGCAGGGGGGTTACCTGAGGGCCTGAATTGCTGAGATCCAGGTTCTGCTACACTGACTGAGGGGTGGCCTCCTGTGAGCACAGACATCCCTAAGGATCTTAGAGACTGTGTGCTGTTTAACCCCCTCTAGTGCTAGTCAGCTGCAGGTTTAGTAAGGGAATATTGGCTGGTGTTCCGAAGTGCTTTGTCTATCTGCCCACTACTAATTAAAGAGACACTGCTCCTTTGTTAAAGGCTTTGACAAAGGAGCTGGGTGACTCAGAAACACATTAGCCACGCCCCTTCCTGTTCCCAGCACTGACATCACTTCTGGCTGTTGAGACTTGGCATCTCATGGCTTTGGGAACACAGCAGAATACCAGCTGGTGTTCCGAAGTGCTTTGTCTATCTGCCCACTACTATTTAAAGGGACACTGCTCCTTTGTCAAAGGCTTTGACAAAGTAGCTGGGTGGCCCAGAAACGTTAGCCACGCCCCTTCCTGTTACCATGTGCAGGGCGAGATTAGTCTAGGTGTGCTCTTTCATCAGGCCTGCTGATGAAAGAGCATGCCTGGACTCATCTTGTCCTGCACATGCTCATAAACGCGTCGCATTTTGATGACATCAGACACCACATGTGCTGATCACGGACATCTTGGAGACTCTGCAGGCTCCTCCATCTATGCTGCATATGCACAGCATCATCTGCTGGCAGACACCTTGCAGATTCCACCAGGCTTACCATCCATGTTGCACATGCACAGCACCACCTGCTGACGGACTCAATCGATCTCCTCTCTGGATCAGACACACAACAACATCTGGCTACAGATGTCTCACATTCTTACCCATGAGCCTGTTTTTAAATTCTAAGATGTGAGTTACTACATGGATAAAGCACAGGTTTACTTTAAAGCTATTGGTCTATTCTGTTCTCAGACTAGCACATATCTGGTTTAAAACGTGTATTTGGGTACATTTCTGGTGGTTGACTTACTTCTTTTCTTTTAGAAGTTGTTTTGAAGACAGTGATATCTCTTTCTTTTTTGTTCCCACATCTGCTCAACTGTCCCAGTCATGATGATGCAATCTCACTCTTGCTTTTAGATATTTCATGTGTTGTATTTTACACTAAGATGAATGTACCAGAAGAAACTAGAGCACAGAAAGTTTGCCACTGCCCAAAACTTCTAACAGTAACTGAAATATTGGTTCATGGTAACTGACCTGTTTAACGTAATGTGATAATAAACCCAAAAACAAACATTTATTATATTATAGTTTACCAATTCTTAAATGTGGTGGCTGTGTTAGTGTTCTTTTTTGTTTTATTTAGCTGTTTTCATTTATTTTCATCTGGTGATCCATCTAGTAATGCAGGCCATACATGGTTCGAATTCTGAATGATTTTCGTATGAATATCGGACCTAAGAATAATCCGCCGATTTTCGCTCTGTTAGTGGGGCAATGGCATCGGCTGATTTTTGTGGTTCCTCCCCATTACGTTTATCTGGCATGCTGGAAAATTTGTGAAAAATGACCGATTTTCTAAATCATTGGTGGTACCATCGGATTACAGAACAAACAATGTTTCGATTTTCAGACAAAAAATTGTTCGGAATTCAAACCATATATGGCCTGCATAACTCTGTAGTTTTTCAGCAGAACAAGCGCCCATGCAAATGTATCAGTTGAAGAGTTGAGACAAACAATTTACCACTCACCTTGTGCTTACAATAATTA